GGCGGCCGCGGTGGGGCTGCGGGGTCGGTGCTGGGACCCGCCACTCGCACCCGAGGGGCGGCCGGGGGAGACCCGCTGAGAGGGCTGAGGATAAGGACACCTGCAGCGCGGCCCCGGGGGCAGCGAGGGCCCAGGCCCGGGCTTAAGTGGAGCCCAGAGGGTGTGAGGGGAGGCCCCAGGTGGGGCTCGTCAGGGCAGTGAGGGCTTATTAGTGCTTTCGAGGGGCCTGCGGCCGTTATTAGTTTGGTTTCTGCTTTGGACAGTCTTGTGGCTGAGCTCCGTTGATGGACTCTGGCTGGTAGGTGAGGTGAAATGAACTTGACTTGCCTTAGTTGTTGTAGTACAGGGTGTTTTGGGTTAGTTTATCTCAAAAGCTGAGGCTGATACTGACCAGATCCTAAAGATACTGGTTTAGTTACTGTTTTTAGAAGTAAGTATTTTTCTTCTCCCTATGTGTAAGTATTACCTTCTTTGCTCTCTGTTTTCCCACAAGTGTTACATGGTGTGTGGGTGTGCAGAGCTTGGTTTTGACCAGTAGGAGCTTTCCAGTCTAGCTGTGTTATGATCACTGTGTACAGATACATAAACCACCTTTGTAAGAAACATTGGGTGCTGCTGGAGCTTATAGCAGCAAAATGCTTTTCAAATTGTAGTAGGCCACTTTTACAATGCTGTAGTGTAACTAAGTTACCTACATATTTCTCTTCTTTACCAAAGTAGCAGGAGAACGAACTTCATGTGCAAGACCTTTGAAGAGCCATCTTCCTCTCTGCACACAGTAAATAGTGCTGATATGGTCAAAAGACTCTTACGTGTCTTTTTAAGGGGAGGGGGCTAGTCTCACTGAATCTTGTTTATGAAGCTTCTTGGGGTCTTGTCATTAGAGTGAGTTCTAGCTGCTCTGCTTTAAAGAGTTTGTAAGTTTACAAAGTTCAGTGTTTGGGGAAGCTATCAGCCCCCCCCTTTTTTTTTTTAAACAGAGAGGTCTTAAGAATAAATTAATAAGCTAGTTATTAATCTTCAGCTCTTTAAGGACCCAATTGTATTTGAAACTTGCAACAGTATATCAGCACATAATATAATGCAGTTTATGGCCCCATGTTGGAGAGAAAGTAACTTCAGTGTGTGGGATTGCCCTATCTATTGCAACAATATTATTCTAGGCATTTATTAAGTTTCAGGTTGGCAGGGACCAGCATAAGTCAGAATAGTTGAAGTTGCTGTGTATTCAGATAAGTGTACAACTGAATTGAAAGTCTGTCTTATGAGGGAAGGGAGAAATAATCAGAAATACCAGTATATTTATTTCGAAAGCTACTACTTTAGGAGTTAACCCAACATCCTATGACATGGTATGAAAGGCAATCAAGAATGCTATGCCTGTAGCTGTAGCTGATAACGGTCCACTGCATCAGCTGTGTGAATTGCGTTCCACCTGTGAACAGTTTAGCCAGCAATGAAATTTGCACTGATACACCTGTGCAGTTTTGTTACGGTAAGAAGTATGGTGTTCTGAATTTTTGAAAATGAGGCATCCTTACAGATATTTTTTTCATTTTTTTGAACAATTGGAAGCACTGGTGTGTGATTATTGAATCTGACTGGAACATCTGCTGGGCAATTTTGTTTTAAAGAAGCCAGTAGATGCTTTTAAATGAAAACTTACAGATTATACAATATAAACCTGGTCCTACTGTTGGTGTTGGTCGTAGGAGTGATCCTTGCTATTACAGTCCAATTAAAGTCAGCACACTGTAGGATAACATGTCTTAAGGGGTAGTGATGATATTACCCCCAGTAACTGGACTGGCAATTCCAGGGATTTAGAAAAATGAAAATGAGGAGTGCTTCTACTTACTCTGCTGCTATTTTTTAATTTTCGAGGCTTCTTTCAAGACCATTGTTTTCCTTCATGGATGCAAGATGCCTACATGTCTTTTTAAAAACAATAAAAATATCAGCTCAGATTTGCAAAAAAAAACACCCCACCCTGAACTGGAGCCAGAATGACAGTTAGCATCATGCTGGATTATTCTTGGAAGCATTATTTGTGCTCAGCATGAAAGACTCAAACATGCAGACTTTTACAGACACTCAGATAGCCTTTGTCTCAAACTTAGACACATAACAACAAATGAAAATATTTTCCTGGTTACTTGAAATTTAACTGAGAATTCAGATCCAAGCAACATAATTATTCTTTTGATGTACAGTAGTGAATGGGGTATAAGGAACAGAGTGATACTGCTCAAGAACCAGAAACTCCTCATAATCTAGGACTGGAATCTTGAAAGTGCTCATCTGTGTGAATGAGTTTAAATATTTGCTGCCAAAAGTAGCAAGTGAGAAGCTTAAACTTGAGGTGCTTGCAGTTCTAGTCTGGTGTTTGAACTAATTTCTGGATTTATTGTTAAGACTGAGGAAAAAAAATCAACTGAAAGATGGAAAATACTTAAAACTATTCTCTTTTTTTTTTTTTTTCTTCCCAAGCTATGACCGAAGATGTAATTCTCCACATGAAAACTAGGAAGAGGATTTTGCTGGTAAGTACATGAGAACTTCATTCCTTCCTTGGTGCTTGAACCTGGAGAGCTAGGAAGAGGTAGGGAGGGAGTGAAGTGCCATGTTGTTGTTTAGACACACTGAGGAACTTGAGCTATACTGAAGTACTGTAAACAATCTTGATTTGCTGCCAGCCATTATGAAACAGCATAAATCAATTAAATTCAGAAAGAACTTCACTTTTTATAATCAGTAGTCTTGTTTACAAGTAACTGTAAAGGTCTGCCAGCTATTATGATAGCTCCCTTGCCCATGCTGTACAATATCTCTACAAGTTTTCTGTTTGGTTTTTTTTTGGCCTATAAAGTGGAATGAACTCATGCATGACCAATAATGATGCTGTTGATGACTGTACCATTGGTTTTTTTCAATTTTTTCCTTTACGCTTTTGTTTCTAGCCAAATAGTCTCCAAGTGAATTTGATAGAAGCAGATGACGTGGCATAGTAGCTGAAAGCTTAGAGTCCATTCTTAGCACACAGCCCATACAAATGTCTAAAATAAACGACTGATTATTTGGTGCTACCTGGTTATTTTGATTCAATACTGGGAGAAAGAAGTACAAAATGTGTGTAGGTGTGCGAAAGTTTGAATTTTTAATGCAGATGTGTTACTATAAATCCTGCTGTTGGTCAGTCGTACGTCAACTGATGAACGGGAGCTACAGTTTGGATTTATTGCCCGCAAACTCTGTGGAGCAATCACATTGTGAGTATTCTCAATTAATTCTTGGTCTTTCAGTCTCTGAGGAGCTGGCTTAGAGTTTTGTAGAAGTAATGAAAGGATCAAACTGCTATCCTTAGAAGGCTTCAAGAGCAAAAATGTTATTTTGTGACAGTAGCAGAGTTAAGTTATGGTGGAGAGTGTGCCAAGCTGAAAGTAGTCAAAGTGAGGTTTGGGGTGTTTGTGGATGGAAAAAATAATCAGTAGGGCTCCAGGGCTGTACCTATCCATCTCCTCCTCTTTTAGTTGTTCTGCAATGAACAATCAGTTGCTGTAGGCACCTCCTTCTATGTGTGAAATAAAATAAAATACATGATCTCTATTATTCAATTAAAAACCTCTTCCATTTCCCTGATTGAAATTTGGCTTTGGTTTTATTAAGAGACCTCCTTTAAAAAGATGAAAATTAAGGAAAACAGAGTAAAGTTATCCAGCCTTGCAAGGTTATGAACAAAACTGTAGGGAAGGTCCTGCCTTTCTCCACCTGAAGAAGGTCTTGTAGTACGCGTGTGACCTAGAGTGGATAAGATTGAGATCTTTCCCAGTATGGCTGTTGATAAAGTTTGATTTGTTCTAATCTGCTACTACCTCCATGAATCCAAGTATCATAAACTGAGAAATTATTTCAGAAAAACTGTATGCCATGTAGGCACAAATAAAGCAACTTTAAAGTTACTCTGTAGGTAAATGTTAGAATAAAAATTCGCTCAAAATATTTTTTGTGTAAATATTTTTTCCACAATTTTTGAGAGGGGTTTTTTGCCCATTGTGTGAGGAATTTCTAGCTCAAATCCTCTAGATGGTGCTACAGCTACAGCACATGGAAGTCAACTCGCCGTTAGGTTTTGTGTCTTGCTTCTGAAAATGCTACTTCACTTAAATCAGGTATCGTACAAAAGGATTAATGACTTCAGCTATGATACTATGTACAGATTTATGCAAGGAGGAATCAGCAGTGGTAGGTTACTGATCCTCAGCAAGCAAGAGTAGAATTTTTTTTTATAGATACAGAAGTTTTTCAGGAACTGTTGTGTGGTCAAATAGTCCCCTCAACACTTGAAACTATACCTTGAGTGCTGATGAGGGCAGAGGTGGCCCACTGTAGCCTGTGGTGCTGATTAAGTGACAGCAATAAGCCTCTTAACTTCCAGCAGATGTTGCTGCTTTTGTATGCTAATGAGAACTTCACGAACCATTTTCTCTTCCTTCTGAGAGCAGATGTAAGTACGTGAAAATCGCTTTCTTATATCAAGAGCAAATTGATAATAACCTTGGTTCAGTTGTAAGGCAGAAGCTGCAGAAGCACTTTATTTGGTAATTGCAGAAAGCTTATGCAGGACATCATCAAAATTAATTTTTTTAGATTCTGCTAACTTCTCTTTTACTGAAGTAGTTAAGCAAAATCTGAATTGTGAGCACATTGCTTCATGGGCTTTTAAACCATCCGCTCAGAGTCTTTCAGGCTGGCACGTGCATTTGCTCTACTACATTTGCCTTATCA